AAACAGTTGAAACAGTTTAAAATGAAAATTATGGTCGGCAACAAGGAACTTAAACAAGTGAAAAATTTTGTGTACTTAGGAATTAACATGAGCTGTGTTGGTAAATGTACGGAAGATATCAAAACAAGAAAGAATAGAGCAAGCAAAAACAGCGTTGAATAATGTAAAAGACCCAATGAAAAGAAAAAATTAACTTAAACTTGAGAAAAAGGCTGCTGAAAGGCTTTATATGGCAACGACTGATGTATGGGTCAGAAGCGTGGACACTTTCAGCAGACACCAGAAAGAGGTTGTGGAGGAGGCCTTTGACATGTGATGTTATAGGTGAATGTTAATAATAAACTACACTGGCAGGAAAACGAAGGAAGAAGTACTAACATGAGCAAAAACTTCAAGAGAAATACTTAAAATGTACAGAAAAGAAAGATGAGATACTTTGGTCTGATAATTAGGTGATGAAGGGATAATAACAGAGATATTAATGGGCAAAGTTAATAGTAGGATGGCCAGGGGAAGGCTGAGATTTGGATGAATGATTGACATTAAAAACTGGGTCCCCAGAGATATAAAACCAAACTTGGAGGACGTTTAGGTTGGAGGACTGTGGTCGCTAACATTCATTAAATAAATGAATGTGCTAAGTATTTGAGTCTTTTGGCTTGAGGATAAATAATAGACATTTGAGACTGCAAAACGTTTTAATGGAATCAATGATATATATTGCATTATTGACTTAAATCAAACTTTGTTAGGTAACATGTAGGCACAAAACATTATGGCGAGTCGCTCCACAGTGGTACTCAGACACACAATGACTAAATATTGAATTACAATTTTTGTATTTATACTTTTTGCACTACTGTCATTCTCTTTGGTCTAGTTCTGACCTGAAGACTGAGTCTTTCCCATTATTTTTTTGTTTGATACTCCGTAGTTTCTAATATTATTGATCTAGATCTGTGGCACATATGGTGTGAACCCTGGGAACTCTATTTATGGGGACCAAATTCCTGTATTTGTCTATAAACTGGTTATTAAGATATTCGAATGTAGATCGAAGTTTATGAATCTTTGCCAAGAGCGTTAGATAATCCATGTATGAAGATGGGTAATAATGTTCTACCATTTCCATGAGATCTCGGTAGTAGGGAACTTTGTCTGGCTTATGATAACACTGGAGGGAAGTGTAATCCAGTGAAGTTGTCGAGGACTGATGCATCACTTCAGGAATGTTGGCTAAATCAAGATCCCTGTGTGTTACAAGGGGTTTGTGTCCGCGAGGTTTGGTGTTGACATTGCCTTCTTGCTGCCAGCGGTGGACCCACCTGTACACGGTGGTCACGCTGGCACCTGTCTCTCGGGCTATGGCGCGGAGTGACATACCTTCCACCCACATCCACACAAATTTGACGCGATCTTCTACGGCTGTTGGCTTCACTGGTCGCCGCCACTCCATGCTCGTCCTGTGTAAATATTGAACAATATTTTCACTTCTCTGGATCATGAATTGTTGATGGTGGTTTATTATATTAATATAAAGACAGCTACACGAGAGGGCCAACTCTCTCAGTCAATCCCTCTTATAATACGTGGACTAGAGAACGTGTGACCGTAGTTCTTCTTCTCGATGCTAAAATTTACATTTTGGTGCCCAGAATTAACAGTAAGGCGGAATTTATAATGTAAGTTAAGTTAAGTTTTCCTGTTTCCTTCAATAGTTTAATGATTTAATGAATTTCGTGTCAGACAACAAAAAATAAGTTGATGTGTGCTCACACGAACAAATAACTAGAAGCCATCTTAATACGACACACTATATATATATATATATATATATATATATATATATATATATATATATATATATATATATATATATATATATATGCTGATAACCACAAGGAAAGAAGAAAACACGAAGTTCCCAAGGGCTTTCGTGTAATTCACATCTTCAGGGGTGGGTACAGACTAAGGAGAAGTCTGTGGTTATCAGCATATACCTAGATCAGGCGCACCTACAGTGATTTACTTGCATATCTATATATATATATATATATATATATATATATATATATATATATATATATATATATATATATATATATATATATATATATATATATATATATATATATATATATATATATATATATATATATGCATTAGGGGCAGAAAAGAATCAATTTAAATTTCTGATATATAAATTGTGATTTCCTATGAAATCTTTCTGCAAGTTTTCATAAAAAATCTTAAGACGAATTTCAAAAAATGAGATATAAAATCATCATATAATTCGAAGAGAAGAGAAGCGCGTTTGGGATTTCTACTTTTTTCAGGATTTATTAGTTATGGTAAGAGTAATATTTATAGGTTTATATGAGGGGCACAGTGGTGTTCACGTGTTGGTTTTTACATTATTATCTAAACCTTTTACAAACGTTGCTAACACTGTGAGAAAAAATTAATTAATCTCGCTTAGTACTTTAATCCCCAGTAAGCCTGTAAGGTGGGAGAATCGTTTTCGAGAACCAACCGGTCTTCTCCCAGATGCTATCCATCCTATCTTTATCCATTCTTTGCACATGTCCAAGCCACCTCTAATGCGTCTACTCAAATCGGTCCCACCAAGAAACTCCCTCCGCAGATCATATATACTGTACTTTGGTTTCTGCTCGTCTTTCCCAAAATGATTTTTATTGCTCTCTTCTCAATAGAAAGTTTTCTACGTCTGCCCTTTGTCATCAACACCACGTCTCACAGAGGGGTTGCTAAAGCTAGTTGCTTTAATCGATATCCACTGTTTACTGTATATCCCCTTTGACAACGGCAATGATCTACAGTAATTAAAGACATTCACCTGAAGTGTTATGTAGCCATCATGGGCTATATACGGCTCAACACCCCTGTCTTTTCCTCATTTAAAACTAATCCCCCCCGCCTGTCCATTATATTTTTGAGGTCATCAACATTGTATTCTATGTGGCATGTATACTCGTATTATCTGCATATGCTAATGTCTTGAACTGTGCCTCTTCCTCCATATTCTCCTCCACAAATATCTTGTCCAGGTACACGATCATTATAAAAAATGGGGAACGAATTCTCCCTTGCTTCACACCTGTACAAATATCAAACCAGACATCATTTTCAAATTCCGTATTTAACTTGCTTAGACAAATTTGTCGGTGCATTCAATTACACTAGGAAGCTGTCTATTGACCACATACTCATCCAGACATCTGCAGTCTTGTCTTTACCACTAAGTCGAACGTTTTCCTCGGGTCGATAAAATCAACAAACAGATCCTTACCGCACCCCGAAGCTATTTCCAAGAACCTGCATCTGAGTGAAGATTATATCAGTGCTACTCCGATTACCTCTGAAGTCATACTGCCACTCCCTAAACAGCGATTCTACCATTTGTCTCATCCTAGTTTAAAATATTACTGGCACAATTTACATATATGAGACATAAATGCGAAACCGCGAAACATTTTGCATCTGATGAGGTCTGTCTTTTGATTGGACCTTACCCCGTGTTTTCTCTCCCTTAACTTGTCTATTTACTTATATAAATTTAAATAAAAATAAAGTGTAAATGTACTATTACGGAAATGGTCGACTTTGCAACAATTATTTTAATCGAATTGAAGGAATATGTAAATAATTGTGAAAACTATAAAATTGAATACATAAGATTTACCAACCTCAAGCACTTGTTTTAACTAAAAACAGGAGTCTTACATTACAAATGACGAATACTTTCGATGACTTAGAAAACCTTGTTGACGCAGCGAAGGATAGGAGAGGTATGTCAACAGACGGTGTGACACGATGCTTTTACAGACTTACATTTCTCATAGTTAAATCTCATTGGTCGACTTGCTCTACCCTAGGCCCAGGATTGGACGATGAATCAGGCAAAGACGTACTTCATTGGTTGAGCCCACTAAAACGCGTTCAGAGCCCTTGAATTCTTTCCAAAGATTTTAATACGCTATCACAATGATTTATATATATATATATATATATATATATATATATATATATATATATATATATATATATATATATATATACATATGAGTGTGTGTATGTGTACTACACTAAATAGGGATAATTGCCAATTAGAAATAACTTCTAATAATATGTATATATATTGTTTTAAACTTTTGACCGGCCATAAACGAATATATAGATCAGTGTTCCCCACCTGTAGTTCGCGGGCACCTTTATGGACCCCGGGAGGGTTTATTAGAAAATTGTGAATTATTTGGGATTCTTTGTAAGAGTGAAAATATGTAATAACTTGATGTAGTGTACAGGATGTTCATAACCTAAATAAAGGAACACCAGGTAGACCAAGGACATAGGAGAACATTGATGGTGTGCAGCACTCTGTGGTTAGCAATCCTCAAAAAGGCACCGAAGACGTTCACTAGAACTGGAACTGCGACCTAAGTCCCAGAGGTCCTCGGTCTACCTGATGTCCCTTTATTTGGGTAATGAACAGTTCTGCTTCCCTTAAATTTGGTCACATTACGTTGAATTGATTTTGATGTTGGCGCTTTACTGACGTTAAAGTGACAAACAGTTGCCACATTGAATCTGTACCACAGATTTTGTTTCAATATACACTTCGACGACTTTCACTTTTTGTCCCATAGTCAAAACCACATTGCCGTATACTCAAAAGTGTTTCCTTCAATTATCTGCAAACAAAACAAAATATTATAATAATAATTACAGAGTAACACGTATTTAAAATTAAGTACATTGTATTGGCGCACTATGTATATATATATATATATATATATATATATATATATATATATATATATATATATATATATATATATATATATATATATATATATATATATATATATATATATATATATATATATATATATATATTTCATGTAAATTCACATATACGCAATAGCAGTGATTTAATTGATAAACTCAAGAAACACAACGAACCTTGCGAATTAATAAGTTTTGATGTAAATTCACTGTTCACTAGAGTACCTGTGAAAGACTTACTTTCATTTCTTAAAGATAAATTACAACTGCTAGATTTAACTATTGAACATGATACTTTCCTGAAATTGATAGAGTTATGCGTAACTGACAATGTGTTTAGAGCAAATGGGAAGTTCTACAAGCAAATATTTGGCATGAGCATGGGTAATTGTCTTTCTGCTCCTCTAGCCTGTATTTATATGGAGTTTTTTGAGTCTAGATTACTACCCAATATAGTGGACTTTATTCCTCCTTGGTATAGATATGTAGATGATGTTCTTTGTCTTTGGCCTAAAAACAGTGACCCATTGGAATTTTTAGACAAGCTTAATAATATTGTCCCTAGTATCACATTCAAAATTGAAAGAGAAATAAATGAATCCCTTCCATTTCTTGATATGCTTATCATGAGAAATGGCCAAAACTATAAATTTAAGGTATATAGAAAGCCCACACAGGTAGACAGTTTCATTCACTTTTTATCGAATCACCTTGAGTCTACCAAAATGTCAGTTTTTTCTGTTATGTTCTTAAGATGTCTGCGTATTTGTGACTCTGAATTTATTGACGATGAATTGAAACACATTCGTTCTATTGCACAGAAACTTGGGTACCCTTCTGTGTTTGTTGATCAATGTTTTAAAAGGGCTAAAAAATCCTTTCATTCCTCTCAAACCAGACAAGTTCCTACACTTAAGAATATTTTGACTCTGCCCTATCGTATTGAATTTGTCCCGTTAGTTCGGTCCCTCAAGCTTCTAAATATTAATGTTGTTTTCAAGTATGACAACCATTACCAATATGTTAATAAAGAATAGCCCAAGTTTGAATGTAAATGGAAGTGTTTATTGTATTCCATGTAGCAAATGTAATTGTAATTATGTAGGTCAGACAGGAAAAACACTGCAGTTCAGAATCAAACTAACATAAAGTATAATATCCAGAACTGCATCTGAAAGCAGTGCCTTATTTGTTCTGTATTTGGAATAATAATCACCCATTGCTTGGGAAAAAAAAGCTTAGAAGTATTCAAATCATCTTGTGTGTCACCAAGAAAAAGGGCTTTGCTTGTTTGAAGCTAGTTTGATTAAAGGGTGAAAATCAATAAACCTTAGTGATGAGTGGGTTTCAAAACTGATAATATGTTACATAAATTATTTTATCCAGTGGCCAGATTTAAAATACTTTTGAAAAACCTTTGATCTAGATGTATGATAATTTCATTTGTGGTTCCTTTTTCTGACCTGACTTACGTGATGCATGCCACCTTCTCTCAAAGCTCCACTCTACGTGTGTGTTGGTGTGGGGATTAATGGATCATCATCATTTGACTGACCTCTGTGTTTCTAGAAGTCACCCTGTATATTTAAGCCTCTCTTTCTGTCATGTAATCTAAGTTTGCCTCTGAAGATGTCTTGAATAAAAGACGAAAGCTAAGAGTACTCCGTTGTTTCCGGCATTTCCCGTGTGATTTTATCAAGATTTATCTTATCCACGTTTTCATTATTAGTTACATAAGAAATATATATATATATATATATATATATATATATATATATATATATATAAATCACTGTAGGTGCGTGATCACAGTATATACTTTTGTATACAAGGAAAGATGTGAATTACACTTGGGAACTTCACGTGTTTCTTCTTTCCTTGTGGTTATCAACTTATCTCCTCTCTCTCATATATATATATATATATATATATATATATATATATATGCAAGTAAATCACTGTAGTTGCGCGTGTTCCTACTGTCAATTGAATTACAAGGTAATATTGAGGAGGCATTATCCCAGTCAATGCAATGCTTATTATCCCTCAAGTGAACAAACAGAGCATTGGATTCCCGGCCTGTCCTAACACTGTATTTGTGTTGTTTAAGTCTAGTTACAAGATCTTTACCTGTCTGGCCTAAGTAAAACATATTACATTCCTTGCATGGAACTTTATAAATGCAACCAATTGTGTTGTTGGGGGAGTTCTTGATTAACATTTGTTTAACAGTGCATGAGTTTTTAAATGCCACATTGACGTTCCAGGTTTTTAGTTGTAAAGGAATTTGAGAGAAATTTTTGTGAAATGGTAATACTAAGAGATTCTTATGGTCATGGGTGGGCTTGGGATCAGTTCTATAAAAAGATTTCTTAGTAATGTTCAGGCATTTGTCTATGAAAGATCTAGGGTATTTAAGGTTTGAGCCAATATTATAGATATATTTATATTTATTTACGAGTTGGGGATTTAGAATAGTTAAAAGTCTACCCAGATCCCAACAGGTAACAACTAAAAAAAAAAACAAAGACAATCGGACTATAAAAGGGTAGACAAAGGATGCGAGTTTTCGTTGTATATAATAGAGTACCATAAATCCCTTAACAAAATATTCAGCTTAGAAATTACCCTTAACCAAACTTAACCTAAACATTAACAGTATATACATATTAATACAACATAAACAATTTTGAAGCAAGTGGACGTGGGGGAGGTAATACAAGATACATGTACTTAAGTGAGGAGCTGAGATGGCTGACGAGTAAGGCTGAGTATTGTAGAAGACGGTAGGTAGTCACTGCACGTAGGTTTAGAGGATAGATGATCCTGTGGTCACTTCCCAGAGCCAAGTGCCTCTCCTCGAATTGGAGCTGACAAAGAAGACTTTGAGGAGGTGACGCAACCCAGGATATGGAGAAGGGAAACCTCGGAGTGGTAACTAAGACGAGTCATACACGTGTCTCGTCCCTAGATGGCGTTGCTCGTGGTGGTGGGTAGGTAGATCAGGACAATAGATGGCGTGGTTCGTAGTGCGGGGTGGAGGGGTTCGTAACACCCCCCCTCCAAAGACCTCCGTAGCGCTGGCGCGAAGGAGGTGATCAACTGGTGCGTCTGGAGAGTAGCTGCTGCATTTCCACTGGAGCTCGGGATAAGGAGTCTGCAATCAGGTTATCGACCCCCTTTATGTGCCGGACTTGTAGATTATAGGGCTGGGTGAGGAGAGCCCAGCGGAGGATTCGCTGGTTGGAGGTCTTGTTGGTTTGGATGAACGTGAGTGGGTTATGGTCGGTGAAGACTAGAAGATTTGTTTATTGGGCAAGACTGGAGTAACATTCAAGCTCTTTGTACCAACACCAGAATAGGGCCTCCTTCTCTATGGTCGAGTAGTTAGTCTGATGTTTTTCAACTTGGCGGAGTAATATACTTACAGGGTGAAGAACATCAGTGGTTGGGTCGGGTTGTAGGAGCACAGCCCCCACTCCGACACCGCTAGCGTCGATTTGCAGATGGAAGGGCAAAGTGTAGTCAGGGGGGTGGACTACAGGCTTGGAGGCAAGGAAGGCTTTGAGGCGGTGGAAAGACTGGTCGCACTTCTGGTTCCAGATGTAAGGGACCGCAGAACTGGCAAGGTCTGTGAGGGGTCCGGCCACGCTGGAGAAGTTACTGCAGAACCGACGGTAGTAGCCGCACATCCCCAGGAAGCGCATGGGTTCCTTCCTCGTCCTTGGAGTGGGGAGGAAGGACAGATAGCTCCTAACGTTTGCGTCCTTGGGTCTCACCATACCATACTTAACGATATGTCCCGGAAATGAAGTCACTGAGGCTTGGCCAAAAGCAGATTTAGCCAGGTTTATGGTGAATCCAGTCTCTTGCAGTGTTACAAGCAATATCCAAAACGCACCGGAGATATTCGTCCCAGCTGTCCGACATACCACCACCAGGTCATCCAGGTAGGCGAACTGACCACCTGGAGTACCAGATTAGGAAGTTGATGGTTCCCTC